TATATATATATGTGTATATATATGTATGTATATATATAATTTAAATACAGTATATGAATTGTTTTGCAATGTTAACAATATATAAACTTTATATACATGATACTGTAGGCCTCTGCCTACTCCTTAGAGATTTTGAGATTGATCGAATGGCTGCAGTTGACACCTGTAGATTAACTTTGTTTTAACTGTTTAATATTATTTCATTGTGAGGCTATTACATTATTTTTTAGCCATTTTCTATTGATGGACATGTAAATTTGCAACTTTCATTTTTATAATGATACTGTAAAAAATATGCCAGGACCTACCCTCTTATATCAATACTGTTACCTGGTCGTTCCACTTGACAGAGTGGAAGCAAATCAGCAAATAATTCCCCAGCGATCCATGATCCATGTACACAGGTCTAGAACTAAATGTTAGACATAGTTCCCATTCTTAATATAATCTTAGTTTACTATTGTACATATGTACAAATAAGAATTACATTAAATTTTGATAATATTATACCTGTCATTTTACTAAATTTATATTTATTTTTAAAGCAGAGGTGTTGCCGATGTCATCATTTGGTTATTTTCCCCAATATTTGGCTTTGTTAATTCTCCAAGGTTCATAGTTATATGTAAATAATTTGCAGGGTTTTTTTTCTTTTAGGAGAACACTGTATTAAAAATCCTTCCATAATTTGCAGCACTGTTATTTGCTCTACTAATGATTTATTAAATATATCAGAACAATTAAAAAAGATGTGATACTTAAATGTTTTCTGCTATAGCTCAAATAATTTAAATCACTCTCTTAAGAGATGTGTTTTGGGAATAGTCATAGCAGCAGGCAAATGACTTAGTAAGGATGATGATAAGTGTAAGCTGGTAACTTTTAATGGAAATAGATAGTTTTGAATTGCATTCCAAATCACTTGTTTTTCCAGCATTTATTGTATATAACAAACACATAGAAAGTAGTTAGCTGAAACAGGTAGTTTGAAAATATTTTAGCATTTTTTATCTAAACAAATGTCAGAACTTTTTTTTTGAAAATGAAAAATGCTAAGTATAATAAAAGTGTATATTTATGCTCTTGGCAGCCAAATGTGCTTTTTAATGGAATTTAAATAAATGGAATTTTTATGACAAAAAAAGCAACAGTAAAAGCAGTGATTATGTTTTTCATAGTTCATTTGCCTTCTTTGCCCTGCAGACCTTGTGTGGAGGAAAATGAGATCCCGAGTGAAGTCTACAATGTCATTGACTCTGAAGAAGGACTCAGAGACCCATTGGTGTTTAATGACCCTTACTGGCCTATGCAATGGGAACTGGTATGATCTTCAGAAATAGATAGTTCTTTGGCAATGTTAAGAAATATTATTTTCGTCATGTTTTAATGCAGCCGACAAACACTTTTATGCACTGCCTGCTTTTATCTATTAGTTTTGCAAAGAGACTTAGTAAACTTTTGATGAAATATTGCTGCAATTTTATTAATGAGCACTAATCCTTTTAATTTGATTACATCCTTAGGGTTTGATTTAGTCTATAAAGATACCAGTAAAAAAAAAAAAATAACGCATTTAAATTTACTGTGTATAAGTATACTCATTACATAGATATGTTGTTGTCATTCAGGCTTGAAGTCCCTGTTCTTGCATAACTAAAATAGATTTCATATTACATCAATAATGAGAGAACTCTACTTTATTAATTGGGTGCTAGAACATAGCACAGCAAGCTTTTTTCATAATACTTATGCATTCTGAAATTTTCTTGGATTTTTTAGGATCATATAGTTCTCTCATTTATAAATCATTGAGAGGTCTGAGAAAAGAGCACATTACTTTTGAGTATAAATATATTTTATAATGTTAAAGTTGATACACTGAATTTTTAAAAGAAAGTATTTGGAATGTGAATATGATTCAGTGATAATATTGGAGAGAATTGAAGAACTTGTTATGTCCATACTTAGCTCCTCATAGATCTATAAGCTATATTGGGTTGTTATATGGGTCTAGTGATATGAAATGAGGAAAAGGTTAAGTGCTTGTCATTATTTTCATGGATATAATGAGAGAAGTGGGGAACTATTGTGATAGCTCTTCCCTATGTCTGTCATTGGCAATGCTATTTGGAAAAAGAGCAGAAAAACTATATTGGAAAATATCCAGTTCACTTTTTTGTAGCTTAAATTCATCTTTTAAATGTGAAATATAACCTAAAAATATCTTAGATGTATGTGACTACATTTGACATAATAGACAAAAATAATCAAGTGGATAAATATTGAGGTTTGTTTCAATTACCTGGAGGTGAGCTAATGGGTAACTAGTGAGTGAACAAGAGCTAATTGAGACCATGAGAGTCAAAGATAAAAAGAGTAAAATCAGGGAAGAGAAGTAGGTTGGGGGGGTTACAGTAAGGGGAAGATTTTTTTTTTAGTTTTCTTCCACTTGTTGAATATTTTGATCTGAAGAAACAGCAAAAAATTAAAATGAATTCTGGAAGATGACATGTTTGACACTTTCTTATTGGTCAGGTAATAAGTAATCTTCCTCTATGTTAGAATTTCAGGAGCTAATAGGAGAAAAAGAATGCAAGTAATACAGGAAAGATAAGAATTGAGGTAGCCTGTAAAATGACAGGTATTAGACATGGAGATACGTCTTAGAGGCTATTGAGTAAGCCCTCTTAGAAGTGAAGGACAGAGATTGTGAAAGAAAAAAGCTGAAGGAAGAAGTAGTAGATTGTTCCATACCATTTTCTATGGCACTTGTTAGATTTTTTTTGCACATGACCAGACAATAAATACTACAGGCTTTGTGGGTCACATAAATCTCTGTGGCATATTTTTATCTCTGTCATTCTAGTCCTTTAAAATGTAAAAACATTTTCTTAACCACAGGCATACAAAACAGGTAGTAAGCTGGTTTTCTCATATAGGTCACAATTAAATGACAACTTTTGAGAGTTAAAGGAGAAAAGGAGTCGAAGAAGCAGCAACCATTCAGATTTAGTTGTCTCTTAAATATCAAAGTTCCCTGTTGCTGTACACATATTACATGAACACAGCTCGACGATGAATGATCAAGCCAGGTCTTACTAATGTCAGTAGCCTTCTGGATTATTACTATATTCTGGTAGCACCATTCTTGAGGTATGTCTGGAGTATAGAAGAGAGTCCTTATAATACCAAGACAGACCAATAAGCAAAATCGCAGAGAAAGAAAAGGTGTAGTTGGATGTTCTGCCTAAAACATATTCTTTTTTTTTTTTTTTTTAAAGATTTATTTATTTATTCATACAGAACTGGGGTACAGGCCAGAGGCTCAGGGGCGGTGAGAGGCTTCACCAGAGACAGAGTGGGGAGCAGAACAGGCAGATTGACGAAGTACACTGCTGAGGGGAGCAGCGGGCGGGTCAGGAGAGGTCTGGCTCGCCATGTGGTCTCCTCCGGGGCAGGCGGCAGGCGGGAATCGAACTCATGCGGAAGTGGCTTCAGATTCTCAGTGCTGTGCTTTAACCCGCTGCGCCACCAGGGAGGGCCCTAAAACATATTCTTAACAACAAATCTAAATTGTGTTACAGATTCCATCCTCTGATGAGAATACCAAATTTATTTCAATCAAAGATTGAATGTCACAAGTAGTTTTCACTGCCCTAACAGAGAAATTTTAGGTCTTATGCTGATTATCCCGCAGAGTATTCTCCCTCCATTGTCAGCTTCATCTGCCCTTTTGCACAACCATGCATCTTTAAGTAGACGTCTGTTCTTACCTTTATTTTTGTGCCCATTTATTCCTTAACCTTGATAATCTGTGATAATCTTCCAGGTAATGCTTTTGGTTCATTTTAGTTGAATCATCAATTATGAACTTTTAGCTATCCAAATAAAAGCTTTCAATGGTTAAAATCAGGTTCTATGACATGGCAAATTAAATAATTCATAGTCTTTATTAGTTTCATTTCAGACTGTTTTGCTTCTAAACACATTGATAGCGACCAACAAGAGAAAGCCACACAGGAATGCAAGTGGTCATGATTCTTCTCCCAAATGCTCTTTCTTTGTGTCTGTCCAACATTTTTTCATGACTAATTAGTTCTCACATTCCAAAATTCAGTCTTGGAACAGTATCCTAAAAGAAGATCCTTTTCACTTACTATATTGAATTAGGCCAATATCGCCCTGTATTCCCATAGCACAGTGTCCTTAGTGCAATTTGAATGAGTGAAAAAGTGACTGAATGACTGAATGAATTCTAAATAATATATGAATTTTTTCAACTAAAGAATAATATGCCTAAAAACAGAAACTATATCTTATTTATCTGTACATAGCAACTCATGACAAAATCTGACATTTTTATACCAATTTCTTTAATAAGCAAATTTGGAATACATTTGTGGATAGAGTTACTCATTTATCTCCCTTTTATAAAGTTAAAAATAATCTATTTAACCTTTACCTGCTATGAACTTGATTTCTAAGAAAACTGTTCCTCAATTTAAAAATCAGCTTCTGGGGCTCTCCCTGGTGGTGCAGTGGGTTGAAGCACAGCACTAAGAAGTTAAAGCCACTTCAGCATGATACCTTCCCTTCCCAGGGGGATCCCTATGGCATGGCAGCCTTCTCCTGACCCAACTGCTCCCCTCAGCAATGCCACTTCATCAGTTGGCTTGTTCTGCTCCCTACTCTGTCTCTGGTGAATCTTCTCATTTCCCCTGTACCTCTGGCTTGTACCCCAGTTCTGTATGCATAAATAAATAAATCCTTAAAAAAATAAATCAGCTTCTGGGCTGGGTTAAGTCTCTGTACTATCACTTCTGAGGCCTGAGTTCAGTCTCCAGACAGTGAACTAACCCACATGTGGTGCAGCAGACTTCTCCCTGTCTTACCTGTTCCTGCTCCCCTCAGCAGCTTATTCCAGTAAATGTGCCTGCTCTGCTCCCTACTCTGCCCTTGGTGAACCTTCTTGCCCCCCCCCCCAACACCTTTGGCCTATATTCCACATCTTCTATGCATAAATAAATGAAGAAATCTTTTTTTAAAAATCAGCATCTACCTCTTCCAGTACATTGAGGGACAACAACAAAAAATTTGGAGATAAGAAACTCCTAATGGGAGGTGTAAGCACAGTTAGATTTATTCTTTCACTAAGTTGAGGAATTAGTCCAGGGCTAGTATGACATCTCACAGAGTCAGGACCTGAAGTTCTTTCAGTATGCCACCCCATTGTGTCCTTCTTCCATATGGCTCACACTTTGTTTTACCTGATGGAAGGAGAAGAGGATTTTGTTTTTAATCCATTTAATTCCTATGGACACAGTGAGGAAGTTGTATATGTGTATTCAGGTAAAAGTTGGGGGGGGGGGTTGGGGAGGTGGTTCTAGAAAAGGACAATAGCCCCTTCCAACTACTAATTAAAAAACAAAGTGTTTTAAGTTAAAATCTAAATATATAATTCTCTGGAATTGTCTAATTGGTATTTGAAATATAGCATCAACAATATATAAAAGATAAGAAGTTAGGAAAATACAGGACAATTTTGAGATTTAAGAGAATGATTTTAAGAACATATATTCTGAAGGTGAACTGAATAATTTTATGAACATATAATGTAAAGGTGAGTTGACAACATGATCTTCTGTTAGTGAAAAGATCAGAATACTTTTATACTGTTGGGTATAAGTGTGTGTAGTCCTTTTTTAATACCCAGGCCTGTGTGGACTGCTACAGTACAGGCAGAGGGGAAGTGTTGAGAAGAATTCAGACTGTGAATTCAACAAGAGAAAAAAAATTGCTTATTTTAACATTAATTTTTATATTAAAAAAATCTTAAAAATTTTCAATGGATGCTTTACTGGGCATATTAGGAAGAACATATGCTTAAAGGATAGATAAATATGATTCAAATTCTGAGTCTAGACTGTGATTATCATGAAAATTTTGATCTTCTGAAAATCTTTTTTTTTTTTTACCTGTAGGATGGGAAAAATATACTCTTCACAGAATTTCTCTTAAATTAAATGAGATTATAGACACAAAGAATATGTCACTGTATTTGACATGTGGTAGACATTTAATGAACGACTTGGCAGCTGGCCAGATTCCTTTCTTACCTATAATGGATTAAAATTTCATTATCTAGGAAATAAACTGTGCTGAATATTAATTTCTTAACAGGGTTAGATGACTAAAGCAGATCTAGTACAGGTTGTTAATAACTCTTTGTTATAGTGTAATGGGAATAATGACTATCTTAGTGGATTCCAAAGAAGGGCTTACCTTACAAATGGTACAGGAGCATATCCGTTGAGATGCAGA